CCTAGTGCTTTGGGAGTCCGAGATCAGAGAATCACTTGAGGCCAGGAGTTCAAGACTAGCCTGGGCAACATAATGAAACCCCATCTCTACAAAAAATTGTTAAAAATTAGCAGGCATGATGCTGTACACCTGTGGTCCCAGCTACATGGGAGGCTAAGGTAAGGTGATCACTTGAGCCTGTGAGGTCAAGGCTGCAATGAGAATGCCAGGCATGGTGGTGCACCCCTAAAATTTTAGCTACCTTGGAAGACTGAGGTGGGAGGATCACTTGAGTTCTGGAATTCAAGGCTACAATGAGCTGTGATCACACCATTGCACTCCAGTCTGGGTGACAGAGTGGAGACCTTGTCTCTAAAAAAAAAAAAAAAAAAAAAACTAAAAAAGAATATTTAAAGGTTTGTCCATGTTTTACCTAAAATAATTTTACATACCACCAGTGGCACTTTGGACTGCTTTGGTGTTCATAAAGCACCTTCATGTTTGTGGTCATTTTAGATCCTTTCAATAACCCGTAAAGATGTGCAGAATTATCCCCATTTTACAGATGTGAGAACTGAAGCTCAGAGAAGTGGCATCCCAAAGAATACAAATCACGGGTAAAGCCAGGTCCCAACCCTGGTCTTCTAATCTAAATTTAGCACTCCTTACATTATGCCATTCCCCAGCAACAGGACTTTAAAGAAATGGAATGGGGAAGTAAAGAATGAAAAGGGGAGCTCGAGGTCTACTCTGTTATGAGATCAATGATGTGGCTAGTGCTCCATTATTCTTTGATGTTTGCACAACAGCTCTGCTTCAGCAATAAGGAGGACCAAAGAATTCACAAAGAGGGGTGTTATCAAGATTAAAGCCTGCAGAAAAATTTAATATAATCTCCAGTTAACCAGCTGTATTTAAAAGTGATCTAGGATCATTGACCCAGGTTCTTCATTTTCATTTGTTTTTTGTTTTGTTTCTGAGATGGAGTCTCACCCTGTCGCCCAGGCTGAAGTGCAGTGGTGTGATCTCGGCTCACTGCAACCTCCGCCTTCTGGGTTCAAACAATTCTCCTGCCTCGGCCTCCTGAGTAGCTGCGATTACAGATGCCTGCCACCACGCCCAGCTATTTTTTGTATTTTTAGTAGAGATGGGGTTTCACCATGTTGGCCAGGCTGGTCTTGAACTCCTGACCTCATGATCCGCCCACCTCGGCCTCCCAAAGTGCTGGGATTACAGGCATGAGCCACCTTGCCCAGCCAGATCCAGGTTCTTCAAATATGTACTATACCTCTGTTTCAAGGGTTGGTGTACCTCTCTGAAGGGTTTATGTCTTCTTTTGTCAGACTTTAAGTTTCTTCTGAGATACATGAGGACCCACTGTGCTGACACCAAATCAAAAACTTAAATTACCAAATGTGTAATATGGGCCTTCTGAACAAAATAAGCAAATAAGCAACCAGAGATTTAGCTTGTTCAGAAAAACTCTTAATCATCCACCACATAGTAATGTCTGGCTTTATGAATATATTTCTATCTACACTGAACAAACTGTAAAACTATTTATGTTGAAGAATTATTGTATCTAAACAATTTGAATGAAAGAAGAGTTTTTAATAGTCAAAAAGTATTGGTAGGGCATGGTGGCTCATGCCTTTAATCCTAGCACTTTTGGAGGCCAAGGCAAGCAGATCACTTGAGCCCAGGAGTTTGAGATCAGCTTGGGCAACATAAGGAGACCCCTGTTTCTATAAAAAAAATTTTAAAAATTAGCTGGGCATTGTGGCACACACCTGTGGTCCCAGCTACTCAGGAGACTGAGGTGGGAAGACTACTTGAAGCCCAGGAGGTCGAGGCTGCAATGAGCCAAGATCACGCCACTGCATTCCAGCCTGGCCAACAGAGCGAGACCATGTTCAAAAAAAAAAAAAAAAAATTAACATTTAACGTATGTATATATTTATATATTAATAAGTTAACTGTGAATACATATAAATTCCAGGTAACTTTATGATTCTTAAATGACATGAGTAAGGAGTTACACCACGATGGCCAGTACTATTAGCGTCATTGCTATCAGCATGAAACTGTGTGGGTAGATGATGAATAAAGATAAAAAAGATAAAGCCCTCTCCTAAATTCTCACTAAGATAGAGTTAAATAATTTGTGAAACTCCTGGCTTGTGATTGTACAAGAATACAAGATTTTAATTATAGATAAAAGTATTATCTTAAATTACTTGTTCCTTTAGTGTAAGTTTTATAAAAATATTTGTGTGTGTTTAACCTTTTTAATGTTACATTTATGTATTTGATTTCCTCGTATTTTTTAAATTTACAAGTTAGCTAAGTAATTTACAAGGGAGTGTTCATTAAACATGATTTCTATTTAACTAGAAGCTGAATTTATTTTGTTGTTCTCTGATACCATTTTGGGAGGGTATCTTTAAAATTTCTTGAATATTTTTCAAATGTATGAGTATTTCCCCAGAAAAAACATACACTCTTCATATATATTTCACAACACAGCAAAATGCTGAAATCCTGAAACAAACTAAACTTTCTTCTGAATATGTATGATCTTGTTATAGCAGAAATGCACAGCGGTATATATCTTACTTATATTTAATTTCAGAAAGACTATTTTTGCTTTCTTTTTCAAGGTCATTTAATCCTTTATAAATAATATAGTTCATTATAAGAGTATGTTAGAGGCTTAGAGGCAGATTTAAATGAAGAAACCATGGTAGAGTATTAGTTCAGAAAAAATATCCCTGGAAAATTATTCAAGCATAAAAAAATTGAGTATAAATTTGGGCAAATTGTCATCTAAATTTTGTAGAAATCTAATTTTAAATAGTTTGACCTAAATTTTTTAGTGTGCCTGTGTGTGTGTGTATTTTATATATGTGTGTGTAATTTTATATATATAAATGCTATATATATATATAAAATGACTATATTTCAATGTACGTTGGAGTTGGTATGGTGGAGAGAAGTTGAGCACGTTGGAGTCAGACCTGAGTTTCAATTCTGGCCATGTTATTTAAATGCACCAAGTCCCATCTGTAATAATATAAAAGTAATACTAGTTTGCAGTAGTATCATATTAAATGATAAAACAGTGCCTTTTACATAATAAATGCACAAGAAATGTTTTTACTGTCCCTTATTCCATAATTAATTAAAAATAAAAATTGAAGACTTAAAAAAATACTCTGACCTAACTTTGTTTTTTAAATTAAGACCAATGGGGTAAGTTTTAATTGCTGTGTCTTGCTTTGTTTCATTGTGAATCTGATTCTGTGACCAGATTAACCCCTTCTGAGATCCCTCGCTACACTAGTTTAAGTCTAATAGAAGTTTGTTATATAGCACAACTCCTTTCCTGCTGCCAAGAAGCTTATTTAAATATAAGTGGAATCATTTATTGATTACAAAACTGAAATATGCAAAGCATTTTTCATATCCCCTTCATGTGAGTGAATACAGGATGGAGGCTCATTTCTAACATGAAATGTGAAAGTGCATCCAGGCACCTTTTTTTTTTCTAAACAACACATGGATACATTTAGCTTACTTTAGCTTTTCCAGTGGTGCCAGTAACCCAATAGGACACTTTTCTTTACGTGAAGTGTTATTGGAACAAAGTTGTCTCTTGTGCTGCCACACAGTGAGTTGGGTATGTATGAACTTGTGTATAAGACATTTGTGCGGGCAAAATACAAAAACATGAAAAGGAAAACATTTCCGTTATTTGACTGTTTTTCTCATTGAATATTAGAAATGCTTGTTTTCAGACTTAATAATGAAATCCTCTCGTTAATCATAACTGTGTTCTAGATTTGAAGGGGTCATAGAGAAGTTATTTCTAAAGGACATTCATGAGTCAATCTTGAGGATACAAAGGCAAAAGTTAATAATCATTTCATTGCTTATTAGTGTTTATTTTCTTACCCATGAGGCATTTTGTTTAACTCTGTATTTTTATATAACAGTGGATTGGGGGTTAGAGGAGAAATGGGAATAAAGTGGCTGGCTTTCACCCCAATTAAAGAGCTGAGTTACTTGCCTTGAAACTATGCTTACACAGCAAGCAACACTATTTTTACTTAGATTGTGTGTGTGTGTGTGTTTACAGAATAAAAATAGCCATGTTTTTCTAAAAGTGTTTTTATTCCCAAGTCACATACAAGTTTTCCTAATTATTAATTGTTTTTATTGTGGGGAGGTGGCTTCAAGAACCATGATAGAGATTCTCAGGGGTGTGTAGCAAAGGTTGCACGCTCCACACACACACATATCCCCCCACCACCCTTGGTGGCTGACCTCTGTTGACATAGCTGACTACACACAGACTGGCAGTCAGAAAGCAAGATAGGACAAAGGACACACCCACAAGGCATAGCAACACCTTTTTCTCATGTTTGATGGCCTCTGTACACTGCCAAATGTGTACTAGGTCATGATCATTGCTGAATGCTAAGATAAGTGTTCAATAAGACTTGTCATATTTTAATTTTCACAGCAGTTCTAGCAGGAAGGTAGGTATTATTGTCCTCATTTTACAGAGGCGGAGACTGAGGCTCAGAAAATGTGTTTTACTCCTACAAGGAAGTGAAAAGTAGGATTCAAACTTTGATCTGTTGGCTCCAAAGCCCACTCACTTCACTAACTACCACTCTTGTCTTCCCCTGATACTTATATCACAGTAGTCTGATACTACAGATTTGCAGTTGCTAAGAAAGTGAACCAGATCTCTGATTTTTATGATTTTGTGAGTTGAAGGTTGTTTAAATTCCAGATTTTATTCCCAAAATATTATTTTCAAAATGTTGACAATTTTAAAGCCAAACAGCTTTTCAGTTCCACTGATGTTGCAGCCTGGAGCCACAGAATCAACCTCTAATGATTGAGTGAGAACAGAAGATTTGACAAGGCAGTGAAGGTTAAGGCTCCCCTCCCCACCAGTGCAGCACCTGCTCCTACGGCAGGAAAGTAAACACCATGTTTAACAATTACAGGTCTGGGTAATGTGGTTTGGTCTTCATACCTTCACTCAGGTGGAGCCCGAGAAGTTGAAGACACTAACGGAAGGTTTGGAAGCCTACAGCCGTGTCCGGAAAAGGAACAGAAAGTAAGCACTTTTTTAAAATTTTACTTTGTTTTTCAAGGATATAATTTACTGTTTATCCATCAAAGGGACAACGAAATCTCACTGATTCTGTCCATGTTGTGGCCTGCCTAAGTAAAGTTTGTTACCACCAAAGAGGACCATTATAGACAAGCCAAATTAGTGATTACAGAAAATATCCTCTTAACAATTTATGTTTACACTCTGTGTAATATTTGCCTCTTCATCAGTTCTTTCTTCATTTCCTGCATCTTCATTCCTCTCATTTAGTGGAAAATAAAATATAATTCATATTCTCAACATATAGGAATTAAATAGGCTCTGGAAGTGTAGTGAATCATTCCATTTGCAATTCAAATAATTTGGGGAGCAAATATCCCTCGTTGTACACGTAAATAATTTTGGCAGATTAACTACTAGTCAAAGTGATGCGAAATAAAGATTGTTTTTGTTGTTGCATCAGGGGTGTGGACTTGAAAGTAAGTTTTCTTTGGAATTACAACAAGAAGTTGAATTTCAGGCCAGTATTATTAAAGTTTTTCTAAATATTTATTTTCTGAATAAATGTAGTACAGACAAGCAGATAATATTCGAAACACAGTTTTTACTGTGATACAATGTATGTTTATGTATCATAACTATTATTTCATATTAAGGTAGAGAACTACAAATGTGCTTCTCTATATGTACATAGAAAGCTATTTAAAAATGTGTAATTGATATACCTGTTCCGTTGCTATACTAATTTCCACATTATCAAGCAACCAAGAATTACATATTAATTAATTTTTATTCATTTGCAAAATGATCCTCACATTTCCCCCAAATATTGACACATAGGCTTAATGTGTTTATGTATTATCATCTTCCTAAAAATACCATTTTAACTCCTGTTTGTACATCAAGACTTACAAAGTGGAGATCAGAATGATTCATAGTGTATCTTGCATAGAAGACTTATCTAATGATATCAGTAATATCTATTAGAAAGCATTCTCTTTCACTTTATGGTGTTTCCCATAATTCTGGCCAGAGGCATAATTTTAGCAGTCAACAAATCTTAGGAAGACTCTTCACCTCAATAAAAGGTATCCGAAAAGATGACAGCTGCAAGGGGCAAACTCCTATGTCTCTATGTCCTGGACTCCTTTAAAAGGTAGCAAATTGGTATTGGTTGTGTGAAAGGCCAAGTTAATTGCCAGATAACATCCCTCTAGACCCGGTAAGGAAAACAGGGATCAGGGTCCCTCCTACTCTTACTGAAGCACACTTGCTATGCAGAGCTTAGCAACAAGATAAGGCCACTAAAATTAATACAAGGTCTGGATGAAAGGAGGAAAATTGCAAATTACCTACATCACAAATTTGCAGTGGGCCAGTTGCTGTAAACTATTCAATGGTACCCATTTTTTTGGTATAAAAGAGCCCTAAAAATGTTTCCTACAGTGAAACATGCCAGTTACTTGGATTATGTACAAAATAAAGTTAATAACAGAAATAAAATAACTCCTCCAAATATTCAAATACACTGCCTTGAAATAAGCTGAATTTTCCCCATGTATTTGCTATTAAGCAATTTCTGAAAGGTAATGAGTAACAAACTACAATTTTAAAATTTTTTCTTCAAAGCCAGTTTCCTATTTGTAGTAAATTAATGTGAGATCTATCTAAAGGAATTCTCCTCATGATAACCATAAACTTAAAGTACAAATTGGAGAAGTAAAAGTAGAAAATACAAAACTAACACTTATAAAAAGAACTTTATTTACCATACTATTGTCTAAGCGGACAGACTTTCCTTTTCGATGCCTAGTAGAATGCTTTACATTTTGCACATGTAATTGTAAATTCATCATTTTATTCTCCCAGTCACAAGATGGGCCAAAATTACTGAGTCCATTTGCAGATGCGGACACTCAGACTGAAATAGTTTAAATAATTAGTTGAAAGTCCTACAACTGATAAATTATATGTTGAAACAAATCATTTTTTAATTTATGCATTTATTCCCAATTTAAGGAGACAAATTTAGCAAAAAATCTGTGCCAGGAACAGTGCTACAGTCCCTGAAGCTCACTGTTTAGTGAAAGAGACAGATGCAGAAACAAATAATTCAAATGTCAAAATTGCAACAACAGCAATATATACATACTATATTTTGGGGTCATAGGGAAAGGGCAGGTAAAGGAAGGGTTCCTAGAGGGGATGATATGTGGGCCAAGCCTTAAACACTACATAGGCATCAGCCACACAAAGGAAACAGAGACCAAGGTGGGGTGGGATAGCGTGTAGATGAGAGCAGCAGTTGGATTTTGAGGACTATAAAGTATCGAATGGGAAGTTATAAGAGGTATAAGCAGGAACCAGATCAAAAAGGGCCTAGTAAGGGCAAATCGGATGTTTTATTGTTTTGGAAGTGCCTAAAGGGGGCAGGTGGTTGCATTTTTCACCTTAGGTATGGCGGTGTAGGAGGACAAATTTTAAGGCAACAATATTGAAGATGAAGAGATTGTTCAGGAACCATGGCAGAATACAAGGGAGAACGAGGACCCAAACCAGGAGCTGGCGGAGTTGGGGATGAGGATGGAAGAGAAGGAATGTGGTCAAGAAATACTTAGGAGGTAAAATAGAAAGAACATGGGGTGATTGATCAGAATGTAAAGGAAAGGGAACAAAATCAAGGACAGCTCTCAGGTTTTCAGCTTGGGTGACTTGGTAGGTTGTAGAAACACTGACTGAAGTGGAGGTTACAGCGGGAAGCTGTTGAGTACAGTTTGGGGTGCCTGTAGGATAGGCTGGACATACATGCCTGAAACTGGGGAGAAATGGTATTTGACAGTGTACAAATGACTGAAGTCACACAAAGATACTTTGACCAATTTGAAGAATAGTAGGCTAAGGATTGAACATGCATTAGAATGAAGAAGATGGGAAGAATGGTCAGTGAGGAGGAGGAGAATCAGGGAAAGTAGATAGAGTCTCAGAAGTCAAAGACTGATAAAGTGATCAACAGAGGTCCAGTAAGACAAAAACTGAAAAATCTCCATCAGATTGGACAGTTTGAAGGTCATTGGTAAACTTAAGTGAGAACAGTTTCCAGTAGAGTGATGCGTATACACACAAAGTGGCTATGGGTTGAAGATTAAATAAGAATAAGGAAATAGGGAGAGGAGATGTAGATTATTTACTCTTCTTTCTACCCATAATGTGAAAATTTTCTGAAAAATAACAAAGAAAGAATTTTTTAAATGACAAAGATTTGACTGCTTTTGTAGACTGAGGGGAAGAAGAAAAGAGGAAAAGGCTGAAAAAGGAAGGTGTCATTTGGAACAAGATAATTAAGAGGTTGGTTTTTTACCTGGACTCAAGTCCTGTTTCTACCACTTCATAGCCGTATGTTCATAATCTCCCTGAGCCTAAATTTTTCATTTCTAAAATGGACATAATCCTACTTTAGAATTGTTGTAACATAGATAATATAGAGAGAGCCTCAGCACAGTACTTGGCACATGTCATTTAGTAAATAGCTATTTTTCTTATGAAGATACAGGTGAAAGAAAGAAAATTATCTGTTATTTTTGCCAGTTGAAACATTCTACCATGATATTAGATGTTTAGTCGTTTTAATCTTCAATGTCCTCAAACTATACAACAAATAAATATCTTTAAATGTATGTTCTAATTATATCCTAATAGCAACATATTTATTTAACACATTACTTAGGACAATTTTGTACTTAAAAGCAGAAATAGCTTTATTAAAGAAAAATTCCACAGCTTTTACATATGTTATGGTTTTCATTTAAGCAAGGAGCAAATCTTCTGTCTATAGGTATGTATACATTTCTTGGGAAACCTGATTTTTTGTGAATCTGGAAAACAGTAAATAAATCATACTTTCACTTTAAAACCAAGGAATGATACTTACCATGTTAAATTTTCTTAGATCTTCATACATTCCCCAGGCATTCGGTTTCAGAGTGCAGGGTTCTTGACTTTTATGTCTCACCCATATTTGTTACGTACTGGATGAAGTGAGTCACTTAAACTCTAAACTGACAGTGAAGAACAACTTGCAATTTCTCATTTCCCTTCTATTTCTTGTACTATTCATAGATGTGTACCTGGCTTTTTTAAAAAATTAGTGAATTTAAAGATAATATATGACAGTATAGCCAATGAAGTTGAGAAGTGGCAATTATCTCCATTAATAATTAGAAATGTGATTATATGAACATCTGTTACTTAATCAAGTAGGTTTTAGAGTGTCCATTAGTAAAAATGTTTATTATTAAATGTCAGCGGGGAATAGAAAATAGTAGAAGAAACTCCACAGGGAGGCCCTCTGGACTGAAAGACTGAATTTTGACTAATTGTTCATTTCTTGAATTCATAGAGCTTTTTCTTCCTCTTTTAAATTCATTATTCCCTGACCTGACCAGTAGCTGGTCTGCAGATTTGACATCTGGGAGAGTCTCTCTTTATCTCTCGAATCTCATGAGGTATACAAATAATTTCATGCCCCACATCTATGTATTTATTTTCTCTTCCAAAAGTAGTCATTTCTCCCTCTATTAACAACTAAGTTGTGTTAAAGGTGAAACATTATACTAGTTTAACTTGAATTAATGCAAAGTGTTTACAAATATTTTAAATATCTTGAAGAATGAGATGACAAAACTCCTGAAACTTTTTTTCAACAAGTAATGTTGAATCGTTTTTGTGTTTGAATGGTAATTGTTATTGCAATTTTTCATGGTTAGGTAAAAGTTTTTTACCTATGACTATTACTTTTGAAAACTATAGTCAAATATCCATTTTCTTCATTACAAAATTAGAATTGATTTCACCAATTCTCCTTAAAAAGTCATGAAGTATCACATACAGTTGTCATAATACCTATTCCATCAAATTGTTGTAAGGATTAAATGAGATAATATATATAGAGTTTTAATCCAATACTTGGCATATAGACATTTTAAAATAAATAACAGGTATTTCTTTTACTAAGATTAAAGGTGAGAGAACCAAGGTTCTCTGGAGGTTTTTCGTTAAAACATTGTAACTTCATTTTAAATATTTAGAACTTTATATAGTCAATTTTAAACTCCTAAGATATTCTAATCAAAATTTATAATAAATAAATGTCTTTTAAAACTTATGTTAATACATCAAACTTATGTTCATACAAAAGAAATAGTAAGGATAAATTTATTTAACACATTACACACAGTGTGATATTGTCAGGCAACATGGCAATGATAATACTGTCAGAACCCTTGCCAAGCAGCTTCAGCAAACCCCAGGTGGCCTTACAGAGTGCTCCCAGGAGCTTGCTTGGCAGACACTTCATTAGGAAAACAACTGAGACTGACTCCATGAGATGACCAGGGCCCCTTGAAACTGGAATGGGTAGGTAAATGGAAGACAGTACATGCATAATAAAAAAACTTCTTACATAGCAGTTAGAAGGAATGAATAGATTATACAAACTAGATGGTATGTAAAACAGTTATAAGGAGAAAAAAAGTCAAGTATGTGTATCTGACACCTTTTGTGTGTGTATATTTTAAAAAACACGTATAAAACAATACTAAAGTATAAAAGCAGACTAAAAGTTGAGGGGGGAAGGTGAGGGAAAATGGGACCAGGATGGATAACAACTGGGGACTCCAGCTTTATTTTTTTAATATAAAAGACTTAAAGGAAATAGGTAATTTATTAACATTTCGTTCCAGGAGGGGAATATGTTAGGTTTATTTTATCCTGTGTACTCCTCTGCATTTTTAAATTTCTAAAAATAAATGACAAAAATATAAAAGCTAAAGACTAGCTTACAGGGCAGCAAAAGGTAGAGGGGAGGTGGTTGATGCCATATTACCCTTATAATTTGGTTAAAACCAATACACTAATTTTTCCTTTCAGTTAAACTGACCTAAGTACATATATATTTTTTTTTGAAACATAGGACCATCTGGGCGACCTTTGACAACCATTTTTGTTTAGCAAATACATAGAGCATCTATGATATGTCTAGCACTATGGTACTCAGGGGTGGAAGACTCGGAGTTCTCAAAGTGTAGACAGAAACTCAGTGTATACATTGTCCAGTCCTGGTGTGTGAGGATAAAACCTAGTGAAAGCTATGGTAAACTGAACTAAAGTTCAAAAATATTTCGAAACACTCTGCTAACCAAACTAAATACGACAGTAAATCAAATTCTCCCACGACTGCAGATTTCCAGTCTCCATGGTAGATGCTGAGATAGGACTTAACTCATGGAAACCCATGCTAACCGCCTGTTACGAAAACGTTACCTCCAGCAGCTTTTCTAGTAATTGTCATGACAGGATAAATGAAAAAAATCACCTTAGTATTTGGAAAAAATAGGTAATTATTTATTTGCGTAAAGGAGGAAAAACAAGTTAACAGTCAGGATGGGCAAAGTGTACATAACCACAGGGGTGGGTAGCATGGATTTACCCGATTTTAGTTCAACAGCTTCATAGATGTAAGCTTCAAAAATGGTAGATGCACCGTGTGTGTTATTCAGGCCAAACATGTGTAATGGAATGCTAAGTGGAGAAAAAAGGTCAGAGAAGTGATAGGCACCCTGAGGCTGTCATTCTTTATCTGTTCAAATATTTACATCATTTTGGCTTTTGGGAAAATGCGCTGGGGGGTAGGCTAGGAGCCTCAGGTGCGTTAGAGTTAAGCTGTTTCCCACCCTGGAACGGGCCCTGGGATTTCAGCCTTCACTAGCTCAACTCCAGAGCCAGAACGCTCCAGAGAGGGCAGAGGGAGCTCCCTAGTGGCCAGAGCCTGCAGTTCAGCCCCTCCGCCCTTCCTCTGGTCACACAGCCAGGCTGCTTGAGAAAGAAAGGAGAAGCAATGCAGGGCCGGCCGGAGCCAGGGAGCATGAGCAGTGTCTCTGGGAGAGGGACCCCGTGGCCCAACTTTCTTCCCAAATCACCAGATTGTGGAAGAAGCATGTGGAAGAGGAAGAAGTCCATCTCCCCGCCCGACAATCTGTTCAACTTTTCTTTTCAGTAGTTCTGTGACTTTAATCATTAGTATTCAGTGGTAAGAATCCCAGAGTGATGTTTTGTCATCTGAATTTTTCCAAACGCGAGTATAAATTGGCTTTCTCTCGTGGAATTGGTACTTTTGTTTTCTGATTAGGAAATTAAATTGAGTTTTGTTTCTTTAATTTTTTAATCTGGTGTGTTGTTTTCATTAATTCCAGAAGTGGAAAGCTAAATAACCATTTAGAAGCTGCTATTCATGAGGCCATGAGTGAACTGGACAAAATGTCTGGGACTGTAAGTTAATTTATTTTTCCATTATACTGTGTTTCTTAGAAAATAAATTATGTTACACTTTTTGGTAAAGTCTCTTGAATATTGTCAAACAACTCACGTAGCAATACTAAATTACTAGCCTAGAAAAAGAAGACAAATATCAGAAAAGATTCAAAGTCATTTAAGGAAAAAAAAAAAAACCTACTGCATTAACTATGTCTTTCTTCCTGAGATAAGTAACTTTTGTTTTGCCACATAACATTCTTTTAAAATATGAGCAGCAAAATATTGATGTTCAAACCACAGCTTTCTGCACTTGACTCTGTGAATGGCCGTGGCCATTACTGTTGCCTATATATTTAGTAATGCAAATTTTGTTCTGTCCTTTGAACCAAAAGACAGTGGGGGTCAAGATCAAGAGTATATAGACCTCTCATATCCCATTTTTATTGAACTGTGCATGTAATAGCATTGAGTGTGAGAAGTTTAATCGTTATCCTCCAGTTCACACATTGACTGATGTAAATACTTAAAATATAATTTTGGTAATCTGTTAAAAATGTGAATTGTCTAGGCTATTTCGCATGAAAAATAATTTATTTTATTTGACCTTATGTTACAAGGTTATCTGAATCCCAACAAACCATCCAATGGCAATTGAATGATGGGATTAGTATGGGTTTTAGAGATTTTGTAATCCAACCAACCCATCATTTCACAGATGGGTGAATTGAAGCCCTGAGACATTAAATTTCTTGATAAAATTATAGGAAAGATCTAGATTGGGGACTATAAACTCAAATGTTTTCTAGGGCCAGTCAAATAGTATCAGTAAGTAAAGTGGGCCAGGTATGAGAAAACAGCAGTTGGAATGGATGAGAAATGCCAGTGAAGATCCACGGGTTAGGGTAGGCTACCAATCTAGAGGCTCAGCACAGTAAAAGCCATTACCCACCTGAGTCTGGTGCTGGTTGAGGAAGGGCTTGCTCCACACCAGCGCACAGATTCTTTCTTTATCTAGTGACCACCTCTCTTAGGACCTCAGAGTGCTTCATTATATCCTTTGCATTTTGCCTTGAAGGTAAAAGAAAAGAGCATGCTAAGAATACTGCCAGCATAGGTTTATGAGCCAGACCAGTCATTCTGTTGACTTTCCACTGACCTGACCTAATCACATGATCTTCTTAAGTAGAATAGGAAATAGAGCATAGAATGTGCCTGCCCAGGAAAAAGAGAAAATGAGTTTGGCCATCGTCTCTCTAGACTCTGCCTCAGGACATTTGGCCCTGGTGGAAATCAGGTAGTTGAGAGTAGTAAGGGCCGGGGCAACCTAGGAGGCATGTGCTGTCTCCAGAAGACATTCCGTCCATGCTCCAGCAGATCTTAGACATCTGGGAAATTGTGTTCATGTTGCAAGATCTTTCCATTTTTCATACAAAACTAGAAGTCTAGAGGTAAAATTTCTCATTTTTATGTGTTGACAACTGTTTTAAAAAATATTAAAGTGCCATATGGCTAAACAAAATACCATTTGAGGCCACATTTGGTCCACAGATTACTAGTTTGCAGTCTCAGTTATAAAAAGTTTCTTTCCTCAGTTGTAAAAAGTTTTGGCTCTTTACTACAGACTAGTGGCTTTTAAAAATGTGTATGGAAAAGATTAGGAGGAATAGGCAGATTGAAAAACCCATAAATATTATTTAAAATTTGAAAATATTATTTTTTTAAAAGCATTCTGCATTTGAGTCTGGATAGCATTGCCCTTTGCTGTTGTCTAAACATTATTTTTAAGCATGTAATTGAGCCAACTTGTAGTGGATCTTGAGAGTCAATTGTACTCATCTCTTCCTAACCCTAAGTCCTGTGACATAAGGTTGGCCAGGATAAAAGTTTTACACCACAGAAACTGGCAAAATGCTACAATGGACTTGTGTCCAAATGCTGATAAAGCATTTGCTACACCACTGCCTTGGGTTCATCCCTCCTCTCCTGGGTCTTGGACCTTGCTCCTTCCCACCGATAGCTATAAGACAATTTGATCACTCCCTCCTCCAAATTATATCTGCTATCTAATGCTGCTCAGCCGCTGCTCAATCTGATAAACAGCACTAAATGTTGCTAGTTCCTGCATTAGTACATAAAGAAAGGTGAATTGTAGTAACTGCTCCTCCCAGACTACACAATTTCAGATCTGCCAACAGATGATAGTGGTATTCTCTTTTCCATTTTGATTCTTCTCATGAACAAACATCCTTAGGCTGAGCTATGTGTGCATGTTCTTGTAATTTGTGACCCTTCCTAGTCATTGTAAAATAAGTAGGGTAACAAAGTGAGGGAAAAAAAAAGGGGCATGTTTGTTGTGTAATTATTCACTCTTCCAGGCTGTAGTGAAATTGGTGATCTAGGGTCTCTGACAGGGAAGGCTTTATTTTTGTTTTAAATGGACAATGGGGTAACAACTGCACATTGCATTTCCCATACTTGATTTTGTCCAGTTCATCCTTTGTTTTCCACTGTCTATTGGCACCCCCAGAGTGTTGCACTGCTTATGAGTTTCTAGCATTCTGCATTCTCTGTAGTGACTGTGGGCACACTGACATCTGGGGTCTTGGTAAACATTTGAAGTGCCTCAGGATATCAGTAATTGAAAGTGAAAGCCAGAGTCTACTCCCTACCCTGTTTCTTTGTCAGAAATTGTATGGTGTTTGTGATTTCATCCTCTGTTGTTGTTGTTTTTTTCCTACCTTTTTATTTCCAGGTACACCAAATCCCACAGGGTGACAGACAAATGAGACCCCCCAAACCCAAGAGGAGGAAGATCTCCAGATAACAGAGACTACTCCACTAATGCGCAGTGTTTAATAAAGGAACATGCACAGATGTATCTGTATATAGGTATTGATATAGCCACTGTTATATCAATATTTAGACTATGGCAGATAGCTACCACCACCACAGGGTGCTAAAAGAAACAGTGATACAAAAGTTTTTTGATCAGGAAGGATAATGAATGCTGGAAAAACCAATCAAAATATTTGTGTGATGAGAGTGATAAATGGTCAAGAGATTACTGAGAAACTCTTTTTCTATAATACTAAATTGTGATTATAAGAAATAGTCCAAATGTTTCTGAAGAATTTTCAATGTTGTATATAGAAAATACAGAATTTCATGGTGATATCAGAAATGTAAATATTGTACAATATTGTCATGTACAAGCGTACCTAATGCACACTTTATCTTTTATTGTACAAAGAAATAGTGTACAAAATTCTTTGGTTTCTATGGAGTACACCTACCAGAGACTACCAGTGTAAAGTGATAAATAAAAATACAACCTAAATGCTTTTCTATGATAATGTAAAAGATGCTGTTTTTGTATTTAACAGCAGAGAAAAGGCATGATGATGTAATTTCTGAATTATGACATACACTGCACACCACTGAGTGTCCATTTATATTGTGTGTTTGGAATGAACCTTGCCTGGAAGCACTGGACTCAATTTCGGGTGTCTAGGAAATTGCAACCTTGCAGATTTCTAAAGGGAAGAGGGCTCACAGGTCTAAATTAAGAATTCAGAAACTGCAACCATTTGTTGCATATTTTTTTTACCTAAGTTTTAAAATAGAATAGGTTTTATAAAAAAAATCTTAGATGGAATATTTTACTCAGCCATTTCTGTAGTTAACGTTTGATAGCCACCTGTTGAAGCAGATAGCTTATACTGACTGCACCATCGCTGGTGCTCAGAATTGAGGGGTTTTTTGCAAATGATATCTGACAAGGTAAAACTTTCTATTTCCATACATGGAGGCAAAAGCCCCACTTTGCAACCATTATCAGAGGTAAGGTTGATTATAATTCTTTTTTTTTTTTTGTAGTGGCAAAAATAAATATGAATCATCAAAGCAAGTTTCATATCCATTCATCAGTATTACTTAACCCAGAAGTTAAGGTGGCTTACAAAATTATTAGCAATGGTAATTTTTTTATCAGTATTGTGTAACATATCAGATTTATTTTATTTAAAGAATTATTTATACCATTAACAGATTCTTATATATATTAATGTGGCTAAAATGTGCAGGTTAAATCTATTAACCAAATTATTTATATTATATTAAGTAAGAAAAAATGTGAAACAAATGTAGAGAGAAAATACTACATTACAAGTATACAAACCTAAAACTGTGAGCCATTGTAAAGTACAAGGTAATTAATAAGAAATGTAGCACAACATAATTTTCCGTCTTCTTCTCACAATTTTTGTGGTGGTGGTATTACCCTATCTTCTAGGCAGTTAAGCAAAGTTTAGGCTTCCAGCCTGACTTCAGTTGATGGATTGTGAAAAGAAGGGATCTATTATCCCTTTATTCTTGGAACCACCAGTCCCTGCCCCAAACCCTTAAACCCCTAGAGAGCACTGTCTTGTCCTCTAGCCTGGGGCTCAGGCAACAGTCTGCCACTCAGGCTGCTAGGAGGTTCTCCAATAGCAGGCTCAGCAGCTCAACCTGCCCACCACCTCACCTACTACTCCTCTCCCACCCACCGCCCAAACTCCTCAGTCCTGTCATGTAGCAGAGTTCCAGTAACTCAGGAAAATGGAGACCAAGGTCATTCCTTGAGTTGGTTTCTTAGGGCCACAGCACAGAGCATGCCACCTGGGCTCGCTTTTGATAGCAACAGCTCTTAGTTATTCCCCTAGGTCTCCTTTGTCTCTCTGTCCCTCTGTTCCACTTTCAACCTACCCGCAAGCCTGACGGAATGCAACTGGCTACCCTGGGCTTCATGACCTCAAAGTAGGAACCCTTCCTTCAGGGGGTAGGTTCATTTTGTCTCTCTTATAATGGTAGGATTGCCTGCCCAGTTCCTTCATGCAGTCACAGGAAGTAATCTTTTGTGTAGTTTAGTTGACACATGTTTATAAGTTAAAAGTTGATGTGGCTAATATGTTTAAACCATTAATGTCTTTTTTTTTTTTTTTTTTTTTTGCGCCAACCTGTTTTTCTACTGTTTTTTTCTACACATTTTTGTTTGTTCACAGACAGACATACATGTGTGTTTGTAGGCTGGGTGTGTCTGTATGTGTGTCTGTGTTGACATGTAGATTTTTTAGCCTTTGCTTTTCTGTCTTCAGGCTGAGTTTGTGTTGACCAAACCTTCTTTTTGGTATTTTGAGCTAATTCAGTTTGTGCTTCCCTCCCATTGTATACTTTACATCAGTAGACAATGTAAAGTATGTTTGTGCCCATGATTTCACTGGTTGCTCTGGCTTTGATATGGGTGCTAGGTGTAGTAGTTTCAGTCCACGTGGGTTTTTTTCCTCTCTCTTACAATTATATGGTTTTGTGTAAGCAGTTAATGTAAATATTGTTAGCATTACAGGTCATACAGTGCTGTAACATTTTTTAAAATGTTGCACCTACTTTACAATTAAAAAATTGGTCACTCACACTTCAATTTTGCCCATAGAGCCATTTCTTTCTCTTTGTATTGAAGCCAATTCATTTTTTTAAATGAAGGCTAGGCCTTCTATGTTACCAAAATTTTTATTCCCTAAAATAAACGTTTTTTAAGAAACAAATCCAAAAATGGGAACAGATGAAAAAATTTTTCTTCTTTAAAGAACATAATAGTTCCTGCTGGAAAAGGAAATCTAATTTTATTTTGTGTCCCTTAACAGTCTTAGGAAGCACAAGGAGAATAAACTAAACCTCTAAGAAGGTTTTAAAAATTATTTCAAATGAGTGGAAAATTAACTGAGCAGCTTTTGTGTGATTTGTCTTGTTTGTAGCATTAAATGCAAACCAGGGTTTTTATTTATTTAAAGGAACATTTTGGGCTTGTACTTTTTAGTACCATTATGAATGAAAACGCTTTAAGAACATTCATCCCTTGTGATATCATGGGCCACTTTTAGTCTTTTATTTGGACCCTGACTTTGAGTTTTTGCTATGTCTGTTTTTTAAGTAAACACAGCCTTCTTATTGGAACGTAACACTGCAGAATTGCAGGAGGAGAAGAGGGCAGTTATTTCACTTTCTGTAAGTTTTAGGAAGATTCTTATATCCTACGAGGTGACTCATTTTTCATTTTAGACCATGATAGCACATTGTTGTTAACTTTGGTAATCTTCCATGCAGTTTGCAGTGTTCCCTTGCAAGTCACAAGCATATATGCATTAAGATTTTGAAATCTAAGATGCTTAAGATGTTGGTGGCATTGCTCTTTCTGAAAAGAAAGCCAAAAGACTAGGCCTTGCTCAAAATTGGATATCTTGTTTACTTTGCCCATTTATGCCCAAATGGTGTAATGCAAGACTCAAGACTTTTCAATGTAGTATATCAAATGAGTTGTGCATTGATTCATTTGGGGGACATGAACAAAAATTATCAACCAGCCAGAAGTGTAATATTGAATTAGTTTATCTTTTTCTTTCATTCACTCTATCACATTTGCATTAGCCAAAGAGATAAGAACATTAGTAATTCATATGTGTAAACAACCCAGAAGTGAATATTAAATCAGTGAGCCAAAAAGCAATAAACAACTCAAGCATGGGAAATCCTGCTAACAGTGGGGAATCTGATATAAAAAAATATATAAAAAGCATTATCTTCAAATATGAAAGATTAATTTGTATCTACTGTAAATATGTATTACCAGCCTTATCTGCATTTATACACACTGTGTGTGTACCTCAGTGACCTTTTATAAACCGGAAAAATGGTTGATTTAATAATTTGTTATGTAAATACAAAGTTGTCTATAAATTGGAAAATTTGATGCCAGATGGCTTCATAATATACAAATGTGTTTTGTAACATCATGCCTTTATGGATTAAGTATAAATACACTGGATTGTCTATGTAGAAGTGTAGCAGTTTACATTTCACCTGCATTTCACATGGATATTTTTGTCCAAATGGTTATACTAATAGGAAAAGAAAATGACTTGAACATTTTCAATATGAAAAACAAATATGGTTTTGATTTTACCAAAATTCCTTTCCACACCCAAGAATCTGTTAAGTTCCATGCCAAATGTTTTGCATTATGAGATTTCCACAGGAGATTAATTGATCCATGACAGGGATCTACCTAGGAAAACTCTCCAGCTGAATTATTCTTTTTGAGAGACAAGCTACACATCTTTCATTCTAACAGTAGGCAGGGGAAGAGCCCAGCCTCTTATTGCTTTTTAACTTATTCTTGTCTTTGTTTCCACATGTCTTAGAAAGCACCACACAGATGAATGGGGTCTAGCTTTTGTGAGCAAAGGTGGCTACAGAATGTCGCCTCAACCTTGGGCTATTGACTTGGGCAACCTAGGCTTCCCAGCTTAGGTACTGTTGATGTTTTGGGCCAAGTCATTTTTTGTTCTGGAGGCTGGCCCATGCATTATTGGATATTTGTCAGCATCCATGGTCTCTACTCACTAGATGCCAGTAGAGCCTCCTCCTAAATTGTGACAATCAAAAATAACTCCAGACATTACTCCCAGGGTGAGAGGTGGAGGTGGGGTAGGGGAGGGAGGGCAAAATGAGATTTGAAAACCACTGCCTTGATGGAATCAGTTAGGCTTATGTCTGTGTGAAATATGGGCATATTTGCATGCAGTAATCAACAGGAACCTGATTCCTAGAAGCAGCCAAAATTCATGCCAAATGAGTGCTTCTCAGTCCGTAGATAAAGGAGTAAATACATTAATGTCAGATTTGCTTTGAACACCTTTGACACTTTCGATCCTAAGACTCAGGACGATCATGTTTTGAGGACGCTCAAATAGTAGTTTAGTAGAGATACCTAAATACTCATGGCTCAGAGTTTGCAAGAAAACTGATAGCTCTCTTTGGGTAATACAAGGAGCTTCAAGTAATGGAAGACTTCTAGATGATAGTGTAGCTGCCTCCATTAGGCCAAAATGAGGAACTGGGCTAAGGGGAGCATGTTATGTATATATTTTAACAGCTTTCTACAGCAGCCTACTTCAGGTGTCAGTTTTTGTGCAATCCTCTTATAAGTTCTGACAGAAGCAGTTCCGTAGAGCTTGGTGGTATTGTGGATACATTTATTCATTCAATACATTCTTTTTTTGTTTTGTTTTGTTTTGTTTTGTTTTGTTTTGTTTTGAGACGGAGTCTCGCTCTGTCACCCAGGCTGGAGTGCAGTGGCCGGATCTCAGCTCACTCCAAGCTCCGCCTCCCGGGTTTATGCCATTCTCCTGCCTCAGCCTCCCAAGTAGCTGGGACTACAGGCGCCCACCACCTCACCCGGCTAGTTTTTTGTATTTTTTAGTAGAGACGGGGTTTCACCGTGTTAGCCAGGATGGTCTCGATCTCCTGACCTCGTGATCCGCCCGTCTCGGCCTCCCAAAGTGCTGGGATTACAGGCTTGAGCCACCGCGCCGGGCTCATTCAATACATTCTTACTGAATGCGTAGCCATGGGGATACAATGACAAATAAGACAAGCCCATTCTCTGCCCTTACAGAGCTAACGAAGGAGATGGCCCAACAAACATGTAAGTACAAGAAAGGATGATAAGGGATAGGGGAGCACATGGCAGGGCTGCTGACTTCGTTTAATAGGGATGCGGGCTTGAACAAGGATCAGAGAAAGAAGAATAGAAAACAGGCAAAGGAAGACTGTGTGGCCTCAGGGAGGGTGAAGGACAGTGTGTTTGAGGCAGAGAGAATGGCTCATGGAAAGGCTTGAAGGTTAGATGAAGCAGGAGAGAAGAATGGCTGTAGAGTCGCAGAGGTCAAGGCAAGTCTTCTCAAGATTTTGCCCTTAACATGGCAGTAATGGGGAATTATTGTAGGTTTTTAAGGAGGGGGTGATAGGATCAGGTTTGTGTTTTGGAAATATTTATTCTGGCTGCAGTGTTAAGAATGGGCAATTGGAGAGGGGTAAGACTGAAAAGCACACAATACATTTATCTCATTTTAGCACAGCATTGCAAAAAGCACATCCTTCCTCGACAACTAAAATAACAATTCAGACTCACCATAATTCTTCATATTACATTTGCTAAGCAGTTTCCTTCTCAGTCTTGAGGTTATTGTAAATATGTGTGTGTGTGTGTGTGTATATATATATGTGTAAATTCATGATAGTAGTCATGAAGAAATGTTCTCCAGTACACTGAAACTTACCGCCAACATTATTCCCTATTTCGTCTACACAAATGGGAAAGCCATAATGATCCTACTTTGATGATTAAAGGTCAGGAACATTTAAAATCCTAGGACATTTTGCTAACATGGTAGGAAGCAAGGCCCGCCAAGCAGAGCGCACAGGTAAGTGCAGGCCAGGTATGGGCTTTTGGTTTCTTACACGCCTCCCCCAGTATGCAGGAAGCTGCAGTGGAGAACTCAGGATGCCAGAGGTACCAGGTGAGCCCTGAGGATTATGAAAGCAAAGAAAATCAGGACCACAGGTGGTCAGCGCCCAAAACAGGGCCATCTGGCTACCAGGATCTCTGCCCCACAGCAGGGGAGACCACGGTGGCCTTTCATCATCCACTCCAGCCTGTGATTATGTACATGCTCTTCAGAGTATCCCCAGCCGCCCTTACTCACCTCCTACACTCAATAAACAGTGAACTTTAGGGTTTTTTAAGTTAATTATTTTTTAAAAAACAAACAGAGACAGTGCAATAACAGGCACCCAATCCTATGATCCTGAGGCCAGCCAATAGCCCCTTCCTCTAGCACAGGGCCCCGTGCACAGAAAATGAACCAACTGGGGGTAGCCCATTGGAACAGTTACAGACTGGGCCCTGAAGGGTCCCAGTCTGGATACATTCAAATCTAGACTGTGCCACTAACTAGTTGTTTGATTTGGGGCAAGTTACTTAACCTATCTGTACTTAGCTTTTGACAAAGAGGGGGTGATAACAGCACTTCCCTCGTGGGATTGATTAAAGATTGAATGAGATAACGTAGATTAGATAAAGTTCTTCATACCTGGCACATGCCAGGCACTCAGGGAACATGTATTATTAAACTGCAGTATGAAAGTTTTAGGTTAGCAAAGGGGAAAGGTGTTGTCAAAATAAAGAGGAGATCTGTCTAGAGTGACTGTATCTTCCTGGGACACTTTTTTTTTTTTTTTTTTTTCCTTCTTGAGACAGGGTGGCACTCTGTCGCCCAGACTGGAGTGCAGTGGTGCAATATCAACTCACCACAACCTCTACCTCCCAGGCTCAAGCGATTCTCCTGCCTCAGCCTCCCAAGTAGCTGGGATTACAGGCGGGTGCCACCACGCCCAGCTAATTTTTTATTTTGACTAGAGACAGGGTTTCGCCATGTTGACCAGGCTGGTCTCAAACTCCGGACCTCAAATGATCCACCCGCCTTGGCCTCCCAAAGTGCTGGGATTGCAGGCGTGAGCCACCATGCCTGGCCTTCCTGGGACACTTTTACAGGTAGGAGAGTGGTTTACTTGTCTAGGAAAGTTCTGCTGAAAGGGAACAGCACTGTAGAAGCCTTTTCTGGTTCTCCCCTTAGAGCCCAAGTTTTCTGGATCTACTACTGAGAGTGTTTCCTAGATGAATTCCACTGTCCATGAGGCCACACACAGAAGTGGATCAGGGCAGAGTCAGAATCGGTAAAATTCAAGAACTTCTAACCTTCAGCCTGAGTGAAGCTGGAACCAGCTCTATAAATAAATAGCTCAGGACTCGAAAAGTATAAACAACCTAAAATCAGTCCAATCAAGGAATGCAGAGTTCAGTACAGGGGAAAGTATATTTTTAACCTGAGAGACTGAAATTTGGGGGCTTAGATCTTGCCACTGACTGGCTCTGTGATCTGTGATTCGCTACAAATCACTAAAAAGATCCTGGAGCCAGACTCCTAGAGTGTGGATCCAGTCATTTCAGGAGCTGTGTGACTTCAGGCAAATTCCCCTGCCTTAGTTTTACTAACCTAAAAAATTGGGATAATAGAACCTACCCCATAACATTATGTGAGGATTGCATAAATAAATACAGATGAAACACTTAGAAGGGTGTCCTCTATATAGTAAGTGCTATGTAAGTTAGGTTATTGTTACTATTACTACTTTTTTGTTTTGTTTTTTTTTTGTTTTGTTTTGTTTTGAGACGGAGTCTTGCTCTGTCACCCAGGCTGGAGTGCAGTGGTGCGATCTCAGCTCACTGCAAGCTCCACCTCCCGATTTCATGCCATTCTCCTGCCTCAGCCTCCCAAGTAGCTGGGACTACAAGCGCCCGCCACCATGCCTGGCTAATTTTTTTGTATTTTGAGTAGAGACGGGGTTTCACCATGTTAGCCAGGATGGTCTCAATCTTCTGACCTCAGGATCTACCATGATCCACCCGCCTTGGCTTCCCAAAGTGCTGGCGTGAGCCAGCGCGCCCAGACTATTACTGTTAATATTAGAGGCTGAGCCTCACTCAGTTTATGGGAGTGACGCAGCCGTCATGTATCTTAGAGAACCAGCGTTCCTTGTGGTGGTCACTTAAGAGGGTCCTGCTGTCCGCATTTAACCATGTAGCTCTCTTCTTTAATTTAAACATGGATAGTCTTGAGAGGAGTAAGATTTTGAACCAATCAAGAGTCAGGAAGTTCCCAGAAGATTTGGGAGTAAGAGAGTGGGTGTAAGGGGGTGTTCATAACTATCTTAGGATTAGCTGTACTCAAAATACTACCATAAAAATGAAAAGAGATAATACATGGAAGAATGCTTTTAAAAGGGGAGAAGAAAGAACTAATATACTAAGTGGTAATATTTTTAAGTGCTATTAAGGATGATTGTTTATTTCTTAATTGGAAGTTCGTGTCTAAATTCTGTACCTAGACTTTTCCAGACTGAAGACTTGGGCATATCTTGCTAAAAGAGGGGGG